AGCTAATTTCCTGAGTTTTTGAGTCTTTCTCTATATTTGTATCTTCTGTAGTTATAGTTATACCCTCTGTTCTTTTGAATATGCTAGCTTAAATGTCATTACTTTCACTAGTTCTGAATATATCTTGTTGCTTTTTAATAGAAGAGTTTTCAGAATGTTCATCTATACATATTTCTTGAGTTAAGGAAGAGGAAGTTGATGTAGTTTTTTCATTTAATATATTTGAGGTGAGTTCAAGATTTTTTTCTTTATTCTTATTCTTTTGATACTCTTTAAAATGATGACAAAGTGCTAAGGCTTCTTGATGTTGTTCACAATCTCTCTTGATATGACCTTTTTTGTCACAGAAAAAGCAAACCTTTGAAGCTGACTTCCATTCTGTAATGATTTTGTTTTCTAGCAGAATATAAAAGCGATGAATTCTTTTTTTCAAGTCAGGGTCATTTGTAGTATCAAAAATAATAATCTATTAGTTAGTTAAGTAGGAGGTTCCTTCAATTAAGAGTGGTTTGATTGATGTAATTTTTCCCACATCTTTGAAGGCTTCTTTAATAGCTTCAGAGACTAGGTTTTTATCTTGTAAAGAAATGTTTCTGATTTTGATTAGAAGAAATGATCTTCTATTATCTGTAGGAATAGAGCCAAGATATATTTTGTTAAAGATATCTACTCCTTTAACTGCATACTCTTGTAATTTTTCTTTGTTAGCAAAGATAATTTCTAAGTGAGTACGGACTCCTTTATTAATATGTGGTTTTGCTGCTACTATGTCGTTTTCCATATTATCATAGAGAGAAACTATGATATCATTTAGAGAACAGTTTTTTAAACTATTAATATCTAGTACCAAAGCATTATCATTTTTGGATTTAATAGTACTTCTTGGAGAATAGGAAGTAAAAGTAGATTGGCTCCTTTTGACCTTAGCGAATAGGCTAGACCAGAATTTTTTTTGGTTCCTTTGCAAACTCAGGTGTTTGCTAATGTTTCTGAATGAGATTCATTTGCTATTTTGATATATGTATTTGTTGTTTTGGTTACGTTAGTGTTGTTTTGTATAGCATCATGTGTTTTTTCATCATTTGTTTTGTTTTCGTTATTCTTGCTTTTTTCTGCTTCTTGGAATATGTTAGTCTTTTCTTTTTCAAGCTTTTGGCTTACTTGTTCTTCCCAGTTAGGAGAGTTAGTTAATGGTTTCTTTTGTTTAGAGTTGTTAGAACTCATATCTTTTTTACTAGTATTTGTAGTAGAGTAAAGATTTTCTTTGTTGCTACTACTTGCTTGCAAACTTTTGAAGAGTATAATTTTTTTGTTTCTTTTATTTTCTAGACACCAAAGTTTATGTTTTTTTGGAACTAGAGCTAAAGCCTGAGTTCTGTTAAAAAAAATAGTTTTAGTTTCTTTAATATTAGATATTTTGTAAAAAGTTTTTACTCTCAGGCCTAACTTTATATGGTCAGAAGAGAGTGCATGTAGATCTGTTATATGACCTTTAAAAAATTTTTTATTCAAAAAATTTTATTACTTATTTTTTTTTTCTTTTTCAGCAAGCCATGCCTTATTATTTATTCAATGTAATTATAAAACTATAAGGGTTCATATGCCTAATTTAACAACTAAAGAAGGCAGTATACATACATATATAAACATCAATAGTAAGACTTGACCAGTTACCTTACTAGTACTTATTCATGACCTGCTATAAAGTAGATTTAATTCAACCTAGAGTCTAGACTAATTTATCCTATTCTCATCAGTATCACTATATGAGTCTACCTAGCTTGTCATGACTTTTCATTAATATAGTTAAATATTACCAAACTAATAATACTTTTCTGTATAGCAAAAAGGAAAAATAAAAATATTATATATAAAGAACTGTATTACTCTATGGTATATACTATATATATAAGATGATAAATATATAAAAGAAAACAAAAACAAAGAGAAAAAAAAGAAAAAAAATATTACTCAAGTACTATCTCCATAGTGCTCGAAACTTTTGTAAAAATTATATAAAGTATTGATACTACAACATACTTTATATCTCTAAATTATTAATCTTTATTTTGCTACTGGGAGATGTTTCAATTTGTTACTAACTATGCTTGTTTAATCACATGTATTATTGTTTACTTTTAGGTTGTTTGTAAACATGTAGTTTTTACTAATTTAAATGTAACATTGTTGATCTTTTTTCAGAAATAGGCTGAATCCTCACAAATGAGAAAAAATAAAAATCCAAAGGACTGAGAGTGATATGTAAGTGTAAAAAACCTAATGAGAATAAGTAAGTGTAAAAGTATTTGTCCCAGTACAAATACTGTGATGTGCCTCTTCTTCCATCTCTCAATTTCAAACTTCTATAGCTTCTTCTATTTAATTTTAATACTTTGCAAGACAAACTTTTAGCTAAAATATTAGAACTGTTTGCTTTAGCTTTCTGCCACTTATTGCCTTAAAGGTCTTATGGGACTATACACCATATGCTTCTGTTTTGAACTAATATTTTACTAGGTTTCTTTGAATTTAGTGCTTGTTTTGTAAAAAAGTTTTTTGCTCCAGTATTGGTTTTGGTAATCTGCAAAAAGAGTTGAAATTTTATTACTTATTCTTGATAAACTTATTAATTATTAGCTATCTACTTTTTTTAAAATTAGAATTACATAGAATTTATCAAGAGAAACAACTTTTAT